TTGACAAGAGACTAGTTTTCCTATATCTAGTGTTCTCAACCTAGAGCTTCCAGATCTGGTTGCAGCAGTGGGTCTCTGGACTATTAAACAGGTCTGCAAAAAGGCTGAAGAATAGCAAGCACAGCATTAACAAGCTAATAAAGAGCATAAGCATCCACAGTAGCACTTCAAAAGTTTTGTAAGTCAAAGGTGGCAAAGCACTTCATCCGGGATAAGAGTGAAGCAATCAGAAGACCTCCAATAAGAAGTCTGAACCAAGAAAAGAGTATTAGGAAACTCAGAAGCGCCTAAAGATGGCTTTATTTATAGGCCAGAGCAATTCCACTCTGTTCCACGTGGGTTCCTAAATTGTGTTCACCATTGAAGGAACACTGTCAAGTAATATACCAAGCAACATGACTAACATCTGTCATACCTATGTTCTTTCATCCTTCCCCAGAGGAAAGAAGTGTTTTTCTCTCTATCAATGCTCTGATGAGAACAGAAGATCAAAGAAATGGCACGAATGATGAGCAGATGATAGTGAAATTTTCCACTGTGGCTGGGGACTCTTCACTGTCTGGGACTGTCTCTTTCTGGGCCAGCAGAACTTTGCTGTCAACCATAGCCTGCAGCCCAAAGCTGTTACGGCTGTGATGGAGCTAGGCTACTACCTGAACATACAGATTTCTGTATTCAAAATTCTACACAGAGGCTACTACACACAGTCTAAAATAAGTTTAGTGCTTCCATAATAATTTGTAGTTCTCTAGCCAGCTTTCTTAGTGTTAAAGGCTGCCTGCCCAGATGTATTTTATTGCTGAAATCCATCTTACAGAGACGTGAATGACCAGCAAATCTGGGCTACTGGTGGGTAACAGAAAACATTCCTCTCATGTAAGAGAACAGAAGGTGGAGCAAAGAAACAAGAGACATGACAGAAAACTAGAAAGACAGGAATGAAGACAGAAAGACTGATGGACTTTGGCCCTTTGAAAAGACTACTCAAACACAGAGGCTTCTGAACCACAGAGGTAGAAGCAGAACCTCTGTGTACAGACCTTTTTATTTTTCTACAGATCTTGATGCTTATATTTTGTATAGATCTTTATGTCTAGCAAACAAGCCCTGTGAGGAAACAGTTGAGGGAACTGGGATTGTTTAGCCTGCAGGAGGCTGAGGGGAGACCTCGCTCTCTACAACTGTATAAAAGGAGGTTGTAGTGAGGTGGGTGTTGGTCTCTTCTCCAAAGTAACCAGCAATGGGACAAGAGGAAATGGCCTCAAGTTGGGCCAGGGGAGGTTTAGACTGGGTATTAGGAAAAATTTCTTCACCTAAAGGATTGTCAATCATTGAAGCAGGCTGCCCAGGGAAGTGATGGAGTCACCATCCCTGGAGGTATTTCAAAGATGTGTAGATGTGGTACTTAGGGACATGGCTTAGTGGTGGACTTGGCAATGCTTGGTTAACAGTTGGGCTCGATGATATTAAGGGTCTTTTCCAACCTACATGATTCTGTGATTCTACATTTGTTACCAACCTACTTCTGTGAGCTGCCTACACGCAGGAGACAACCCATAAATGACTGCTGCCTTGTTGCCTAGTACTCTTGCTTTTGGGCACAGTTTTGAACATTAACCTGAAGCATGTATGCCCTTGTTTTCTTTTTCTTTGTACAAGATACAGTGCAGTAATGCTATTAATAAATACACTATAAGAATTATTCTAGCATGAACTGGCACAATAGCAAGACTCCACCAGCACATGATAACCAGTCATGCTCATCAGAGGGGAAAAATAAGTAAAAATTCATGAAAAATTTCAATTACAGCAATAACCCATGATCTTTTCTGAAAAAATTTAATCCGAACTCAACATTTTATCAGCCCAAGAAGATTAAACTAAATCAGAGTAGTTTCCTATTCAAAAACTATTTTTTACAGCTAAAAGTTGCTTGCCCCTGAGGAAGAAACATCCTTGCACACCCTCTAATAGAATGAGTCCTGTATCAGATCTGAGACTCAAAACCCACTACCAAGAAACAAAACGGAGAAAATAAGGTATCTAATGCCGCTGCAATTTGAAGAGGAATGCTCAAGTAGCCAAGAATTTCTACTCATGATCATATAAACCTCCAAATGATGCTAACAAATGTACATTCAAAGCTTTGATTCTACTAGGGAAAGCAATGTGATTTTTCCCATTCTCCTCTAAAATAACAGAAATATGTTATTAAAAGAAACATTTGTCTTACTCTCTACATATTTACCATATGCTGTACAGCAAAAATCATATTAAACTGTTGTCCTGCTGCTGCAGTGTAGTTTTTTCTGTCCTTCACCTATCTAACTGGGACAGCAAGGAGGTTTCTAACAGAGAGTATACCTTTCACTTCTCCTCAGAGTGTCAACTGGCTTCCTGAAGCAGGTGCTCGTGTTTTATCAAAACGAGTAGCAGAATTGTTTCTACCATCCAATGTCAAAAAATCAAGTGAAGCCATTTATTGAAGCTGATGGCCTCCTGACAAGCCAGGGTGCTGTTTGCTCCTGATCAGCTGGTTCTAAAAATAAGCTCTGATGGACATGTCAGCAGTGTGCACACTCAGTAGCATCGCACTGCCTGCCACCACTGATGTGCCACCAACTTTTGCCCCCATCAAAAGTAACACAGAATGCTCAAAGCTATCCCTAACATTTTCTACTATGGAAAAAAAGAGTAGAGTAATAATTTCAAGAGCTGTTTATTACACTGATAACAATACATTATAATAATGATGAGCAATAAAGAGTTTCTTGCTGCTAAATATTCCTTCCAAACACATATTATCTTGACTGCACTTCTATGTTAGCAAACATTTAGTATGAGACGTAACGGTGAGCCCAAAATGTATTAATAGGACCTTCATTAAGATAATTTTATTAAATCTCTTTGAACATCTACATCTGTGTGTGTGTACACACACACACACAGGTACACACATACAGACTGCATATCCATACATGTAGGCATTGTAAAGAAAACCCATCTTTCCCCCACCTTCATTACATAAACTTGGTGTATTTAGTTGAAATCAGAAGAGTTAAAGGAGGGAAGGACAAATCAAATAAAGGAATTTACAGGAAAGGAGAAAGACAGTAGGCTAGAGGATCTGTTAGGAACACAGGTACAGACTCTGGGTTGGATTCTATGGGAAAACTGGTATCAAAGCAAACCCTGGGAAGCAGACTTCATTACTGTTTCTCTACCCTGCTTACTGCAGTTAGCAAGACATACGCATAATTTTTATTAAAAAAAAATCATGGATAGAGTATTACAGGCTTTTCTGTTTAGTCCTCTTGAGGATTATTAGTTGTAATCACATACTTGATTTCCCAAAATAACTAGGAAGCAATAAACACACACGAGCTAGTCAGTAAGTTATGATATATATTACAATCCATTAGCTGTTTCATCATCATTTTTTTAAAGCTAAAAGCACATCAATGCTGTACCCTCTTTTGTCTTCTTTTACTGTTGCACAAGGCCCAGCAAAAAGTTCTAGTCTAAGTGAGACTCCAGGGCACTTCTAGCAGGAATATGAAATGTTTCCACATCTAACTTAACAAATTTAATTTTTAATGTCACTAAATACACAGCCAGAATTTTCTTTGCTACAGCACCCATTTACAGGGGATCAATTAAAATCTGTTCAGTATTATCAAGTTGCATTTGTGCTTATATCCTATCTACTTAATTCTTTTCTTCACACACAAAGACTAATTGCTGCTAGCTAGCTGATCTATCTTGCATATGCAGGATGCAACTCCAGAGCTGAAGTATCATTACAAATACAATAGTATGGAACAAAATTTTTGGTTTATGTCATCTTTGTAACTGCTGCTTTGCTTGATATTGAGTAAGACAAGCATAGGTCTACGCTTACATGGAAATATAGAAGAAAAAATATTAGGGGCACATTTCACTTCTAAAAGACAAAACGCAAGTCTCAGGTATTCTTTTTGAGTGTGCTTTTACTGTGCTATACCTCCCAAAAAAATGGTTTTCTAGGACTTGTAGAAGAACTAATCACAAGCAGAATGAAAGTATTATGTGTTAATCTACTTTTGTCCTAAACATATAGTGTGCAGAGATGTTAGGAATAAATTCTAAAGGAAACGTTTCAGTCCTAGGCTTTTCACTGTTAATGTCACTACAGGGAAACCTGTTGGCAGCAATCAGGACAACTTACTTTAGAGGATACTTCAATTCCTCTGGAGAACTGTTTTAGGTGCATTGATAACTAATTTTTCCAGGAACTTGGAAAAATACATTATCAATGAATGCATTTTAATCATGCAAATCATGGAACTGGAAGCTGCCATCAATCATATACATGTTTATAAGTACTCGTCACCTAACAAAACTAGCTTTTGTATTGTACATGGCCGATCCAAATAATATCAGATGAAAAAAAAAAAAATCATCTTTACTGAGTAAATTCTCTGTAATGGTATAAAATCTGATTGGAATTTTAGGCATATTTCTCTCCAGCAAATAAAATCTGGGGGAACTACAAAGCTACCACATTTGGTTAGAGACAGAAAAGGATCGAACGCTTTGCCTTGCTAAATAGTGTTTTCATGAGACAGTCACTGACCCACCTCTGAGATGTAAGAGTACATGTTATGGTGAAGTAACAGCGATCATAAAGTTGAGGTGGTGGGGAAGAGTGGGTTTGATCCTGATGTGGATCAAATCTGAGTGTGCTTCAATAAGCTTACACATCTACAACCAGTTACTCCTAAACCCCTTGTAAATGAAATAGAGGCAGACTTGAATCAACTGAAATGTGGAATGCAGACACTGTGCATTGGAAGTCTGCTTCAGAAATTTGCCTAAATTCACCTGTTAAGCTCAGAATATTTACACATAATACTAACCTTCACAAGACAAGCATAAACATGCACTAGTGTAATTTACCAATTTTCTGTTTACATTATACTTTTCTACCACTGTAACTCTTAACAGTTATACATACTTACCACTGTGCCTAGAAACTGAATGCTTATATCTCCAGCAGCATTCCGAGAAAGCCGCTGAAAAAAAACACAGATATAAAAAGTGATTAGAAATGTCTCCAGAATTTGAAACCATTCAGGTTTGAAACCATTCACTGTAATCAAAGCTGAGTACACAAATCTATACATAAAACAGATAAAATAAAACCATTTCCTTCAACAGTGTCAGTACTAGAAGTTTAATTCATGCTTCAGCTCACATTCTGGTTTTGTTTCAGTCAACTCAATAAAACTTAATTTTGAAGAACAATGAAAACAAATATGGCCAAGTACAACACAGAACAACCTTGGGCTTGCAGAAAGATGAATATCATGACTAATGAGGCTTCTGCCATCTCTAAAGGTATTCTGTATTCCTGTTACTCACATTTAGTATTTTCCTTCTCTCCTAATGAGAGATATTTTAATCTCTTTTTAAAATGCAAACTTCCAATGATGCTACTTTGAAAACAGAAAAAAAAAAAAAAAGACCTTATGAAATGTCTGGTCACCTACTGTGGTTCAGGAGTTGATTGAAGTTATTAAACAGTCTTCAAATATTACATTGTCAGTAAGACACAGAAAAATGCAAAAGAAAGTATGCTATTGATTTAACACCCCATCATCTAAATATGCAAAACACAAAGAATTCTTTCTTCTTGTGAATCGTCTCCTACTTCAACATGAGAAGTTTTTTCTCCCTTTTTCTTCCTGCTATTAAATTACAGCACATATAGACCCAAAATCAGGGTCTATACACAGCCCTAATACTTACACAATGTACATATGAGTAGAAAAGCAGAGATTTGAAAAGTGAGTATAAATTGCAAACAAAGAGCTGCACAGAGATCTTCAGCATTTTAAAGACAACGAATCCTAGGAACAGGGCTGCAAATCATCTAGAGAGATCTTGTAGTCTAGTACCCCTGGCAGAATCGAAACACACCTGTGTCACTCCCAAACAATGTGTGTCTAACCCATTCTTAAAATCTTTCAGTAGCAGAGATTTCACAGTCTCCCGAAGCATTTTATCCCAGTGTTCAGTACCTTTATCATTAGGAAGTTTTTTTCCTAGTATCTGAATAAAATAAGCCTTACTGTAACTGCAGCACATGAATTTTCTTCTTCATCACAGACAGGAAACAAATTATTCCCTTTCTTTTTACAGCTACCTACAGGTATGTGAAGGGCCGTTATCACGGCTCCCTTTAGCCTTGTCTTGTCTAGACTAAGTGAGAAAGTGGTATATAACAATAGCTAGCTATCCTCCAAAATTAATAGTGATACATTAAATCCTGGTCTCTTTTCAATAATGGTGCATGTTTCTCAGCTACATTTTATGAAGTAATAATTACTACAGCCCAAACATGCTTATTTTTTGACTTAACAGGTCACACACTGACACTGCAATCTGTACAATCATATGAAAACAAAGGATGATGTGCCAAAGCCTGACATATTTCAACAATAATGATTAACGGAATGGAAAATATGGGAAATAAAATTTCATACAAAACCTGACGTTTACTTTTATACAGGAAACAGGAATATACACTTTTCCCACAGTCTAGGATAAACACAATCAGGTTTTGGAAACCACAAAGAAGAACAAAGTCCTGGCTGCCTACAATGAATGAACCGCATGCCAAAACAAACAAGTCCCAACCACTTGATAAGCTGTCAGAAAATGGCAAGCTGAAAAAAATTAAAGGATTTAATTTCTTTTTTTCCTGGAATGCCCTCCACCCTTGTTAGAGTTCTGTCACTTATTGTGCTACCCTTTTGTCCGCTTTCAAGGGTCATTAGAGACCTTTTCATGTCCTAATAAAAATTCCTTTTTTTTGGCTAATCTCCCCATCACACAGAAAAACACAACCTAAAAAGCAAAACAAAACAAAACAGAAAAAGAGCCATTTTGTAATTTTCTTTAAAGGCTTTCAAAGTAAAGCCAGGTATCTTGACAACCTGACTTATTTTTCACAACTGAAAACGAAATCATTAAAGTACCTCTTCACACAGATTCTCTTTACTCACAACTAAATAAGCCAGCACAGCAATAACCAAGCCCTTTAAAAAAAATATTAAATAAGCAACTTAATAAAGGCAAACACATCTATATCAAGAAGGCACCTCCTAAAGCCACAGTATCAAGACAAGACAAAGACATAAGCAGCCTTCTCTGACACTGTTGAAGTGCACTGGTATCACTGTCTAGTAAATCCTTACTGCTACTGTTTGCCCTGTCCAAAATGCAAAACATTACATTTAGTTTTCGATAGCATTAGGAGTCAGTATAAGCACTAAAATACATTTCTTGAATTAACAGCCACTCTTGAGGGGAAAAAAAAAAATAATGGGGAAGGTGAGGAAAATAGTGAACAAACAGAGGAGAAAAAGAAATTTCCATTCTGGGTATATTTCAAAAAAACAACAACAAGAAAGAAAGGCAGAGAAATTCTCTAAGTCACAAAACATATGTTTCATCAAGACCAAAAACAGAACCGCCAGGCTTTTGAGAAGCATGTTACAAAAGAAGTCAGCACATTATCATAATTAATGTTTCAAATTACAGTTGTAAATAAATTTCAGCTGTTAGATGTGATTAGATTTTTTGAAGCATATTGAAAGGAGTTATTTCTGTTCCACTGGTGGGCTTGTGTTTCTGGGATTTGTAAATGTAATTGATGTTTTCAAGAAAATGAAAGGACACGGTTAACAATTATTTTTTTTTTTTATTTTCCACCTCTTTAGAAAAAGGACCAGTCTCCAGTTTCTCTTGTAAATTTAGATATTTCCATATTCTATACTTCATAATAGATGGTTTCATATTGCATGTGAAAGCAGGAAAGTAATCAAATAGAAGTACCAAAAGAGAACAGCTAATTACATGCATTATCATTGTTTTCCTAATAAATTACAAATTATTTACTGGAAGGTTTACACTAAAAAGCAAGGAAAATCTACCATTGGAACAAAGACAAAACATCCCTGCATGTTTACCTGCCAATTCAGAAAAATTACATTGTTCACATCAGTCACACAATCTCGGATACATCTGATGCTCTTCTGGTTGACTCAACTGCTAGAGCTTCAGACTAACTTAATTAGCAAATATGAGTTAGAAGTATATTTTTTCCCTTATGAGAAAGTAACAAGCTAAACCAAATCTGGAAAAAAAGATAATCACAACTTCAAAAAAATCCATCTGCAGTCTCAAAGCTGTCAAATGGGTGTCAGTGTTGCATAAATATTATATGTATTTTTACATAGGTTACAGTATGCTATACTGCATATGCTATGTATATGCAAACAAAATGCTTATGCATGCATGTAAAAACAGACAAGTGTATACAATCATATAAAATGTGTTTCGTTTTCCTCCTCCATCTTCAGTGAATGCTATACCAGTCATTTCACATTTTAATCTGTAAATCCCAGTAAATTACCAGAGGTTAGTGTGATATGACTTTAAATTCTTCTGCTTTGCCATAGAAAATTATTTCCACTTAGTTGGGTATCAATGATCTATTCATCACAAGATGTAGCAAGGTTACAATCAGCTTTGCATTAAGCCTGCAGTGGATGAGCACTTGTAGATAAAAAAAATGATAACAACCTTTAGGTGAAGAAGGAAAAAGAAGCTCAGCCAAACATACAATACATACAATTGAAAGAGATTCTAAACTGACATAGACATTATTAGACAAAAAGAGCTCAGAGTATTTCCCACAAATCTTCTGGTATTTTGTATTCTTCAAGCTACTGGAGGGAAGCAGCTGCAGGGAACAAAGAAACTCCAACAGACCAAAAGCAGGTTTTTTGCTTTGCTTACAAATGAAAGAGTAATGTCAAAATGAATATAAACTGGCAAAGAAAATCATATGTAAGTTTCTCAAGCACATTTATCTTGAACTAGTATAGAGCACCTTTATTTGTTGAAAGTAAAGCTGGTGATCAGCAAATGTACAGGCTGTCACTTGGCCAATGTTTTTTGAAACTTTTTCAAGCCCTGGCATGACTATTAGCAACTGTACTGCACGTATCAGGTTATACAGGATAAAAAATAATAATAAATAAATAAAGCCTATAGGTACAGTCTAGATAAAATTTTGACTGAAACACTGAGTGGTTTCCCAGCATGGTGCTGTTTTTCAGAACACAGAAGTCTTTGCAGCCCCTATTGCTACATTTCAACTGCTCACTACCAAAAATCTTGAACATCTTATGCCATGAATTTCAAGTACAGAATCCTATCCACTTTTTGGCCAGTATTTATGAATTCTTGAAAATTCAGCCTAGCAAGATACAGGCCAGAAACATCCCCCAACAGGCTTAATTAAAAATAAAAAAATAAAAAAACAAACCCAAAATCCCATCATAAAGAAATTGGAGGAAAAAATACAGTATTTTCCCTTGTGAAGTTATAGCAGATTCACTTGCTACTTCCTCATCTATGAGATTCTGTATGCATGCAGATTCTTGGACATCTGGAAAGCTCCATCCTCCACCTATGGCATTCCCATCTTTAGAGTCCCGTGGTCGAGTCAGAGAGGAGAAAACTGCAGAAGAGGCTGTGAAATCAAGATGTCTTTCTGCCAAAACACGAGGAATGGTTTGGCTTTATTAGCCTCCTTTTCCCTCTCCTCCTAGAACCTTTGCAAAAAGCAGAACTTCATTTCCACACTCCCTTTCCATGGCTCAAAATACCAGTTTAGGGATGTAAACCCAGACTAGCAATGTGACCAAGCTTTTTTTTGTATGTTGGAGACTATTTGGCACTGTATGTACTTGTGCACCCTCACAAGCCTTCCCACCTGGAATCACTCTACTTCTGTCAAGATTTAGTGCTCTCCACCGGTGGTGCCACCATTTCCTCCCCTTAGTGTATTAAACTACAGATGGAAACTTCATTTTATGTGCTGCTCCATCCTTAGCCATTATCAGGTTTAGATCACACTTTACTGTAAATGAAGCCTCAGTTAGCTATTCTTCCTCAGGGCACATCCGCATTTTCCAGGTTCTTACAAGGGCAGCAGTCA